AAAAATTCACAAGGACATAGTAGTAAAGTCTCCCCTAGTTGTGTGGATTTCAGAATTATTTTTGTGATATTATGAGAAACTATGCAGAGTATCAAAATTATGACATATAAGATGCTTGATTATGAAATTTTACAGAAGAAAATCAAAACCTTTCTCCTCAGTGGGATTTTGTTTGAACTGAAAAAAAAATTTGACTTATATATCTTTTCTCTTCTCATCCCCTCCTTCCCCCTCCTCCTCTCTCTTCACCTAAGTACCGGCACCCAAACATGTACCTAGCTAGGTGGCTATCCTTTCTTGGGACCTATGTGGTATTGGTAAAATGAGCCATGTCTTAATTATCTAGGGGAACCTGACTCCCATATAGCCACTATCCTGTTATAAAGGAACACTTGTCAAACCAGATGAAGTTTGAGGAGATGATGTACACCATCCCAGCATAACTTCCTGGTGACTTTAATTCCCATGGGGATGAACTAACTTTTAGTAAAACGTCTTAGGTTAGAAATTTAGAAAAAGGTGAAATAGGACCTGCTATCTGTGTGTCTGATTGAAAGTCTGCTTTATAGACTGGCTAACCATTCTGGACCTTGCTTACCTTAAACTGGGCATAATAACAGAACCTGCCTCCTCAAGTTGTAGGAAGGTTGAAAGGGGCTACCTACAGCACAGAACCTAGGGCTTGGGAAGCATTAACTCAACACTAGCAGACATCACTCTCATTCCCAGGCTCATGCCAAGGCAGGCACGCGTAGGAAATAGCTTAGCCGCATGGGACTCTGCTTGGTTTGAGCTGCACACACACCCCTCTTCTAATAATGCGGTTGGCAGCCTGGACCCTCATCTGCCTGGACCATGCACTCACATCCCTCTCCAAACAATATACCTAGCAACCATGCGGCCAGGACTGGCATTTAGCTGTACAGCTGTCTACCCTCAACAGAGGTGTCCCTTCTCTCCCAACAACTGTCCAACAGCTTCTATTCAGTTGTACTCCAGTTATATCCAGGTAGGATGGTCGGTCTGGCATGAACTAGTTTTGAGGGTACATGCAATTAAGACAAATTGTGTTCCCTATGTGAGTTTTTAGGGGAAAACCCTATTGACCATCGTATAGTTAGTGAGTAACTGAATATGCATATAATAGGAGGAACCGTGAAAAATAGAAAAATGCTTCTATGACCTAATGTAGCAATCAAAAAAATCACCTTCAAATACCCTTGATAACCAAATTCCTCCTTTGCTTAAACCCCATAAAAGAAAGCCCCCACCCAAATAATTGATGCTCAAGAATACTCATGTGACCTGCTGTTACTTATTAATAAAAATATTTAATTGAATTTCAGGAACTTGACACTTTAAAAAAAAATTCCAAATCTTTCATGCAGATCAAAATAAAGTCCAATTTACTTTTAATTGGTTAATTAATTAATTATTTTGAGATGGGGGTTTCTCTGTGTAGCCTTCGCTGTCCTGGAACTTGCTCTGTAGAACAGACTAGTCTCAGACTCAAAGATCTGCCTGCCTCTGACTCCTGAGTACTGGGATTAAAGGAGTGCATTACCTCTGCCAGGCCCAATTTTATTTAACCTTGATTCAGTGTGACCCCTAGGATCATAGGGAAAGCAATGGGGGCCTGACAGATGAGAATGGGAATCCAAGCTTCGCTGTGCCCTAGCTGTGCATTGCCTGCCTTTCCACACTAAATACCCGGCAGTGCCCTGAGGGTGGAGTCTTGCCCACAGGTACAGGTGCTTGGCTGTGACTAATGCCTTCCCCATTGTAGAGTCAGGGCTGCTGAGAGACAACTGATGACTAAGACCACTCCACTTTCCTCCCCTACCTCCATTCTGTCCCATGTGTCACTGTCATCACATTTTCCAACAGCTGATGACCAAAGATGTTGCATCAGGTGACCCTCTCATATGAAGTGTGCCTCCATTCCACCAAATATGTCTTTGCTAGGTTCTACCTAAAATCATGAAAATCATGTATGCCGCTTTACATACTTAAATGACTGGTCTTCCCCACCCCACACTTCCTGGCTACTTTTATAGGTAACTTGTTTCAGAACAAGTTCACATTCCTTGTTGCCTTTGGTGGATTCTGGGGAACCATTTCTAGGTTTTCCTGGTTCTTTTTTTCTTCTCTGTTTGGTGTCACAAAGGTGTGGGAGAAGAGCTGAAAATAATCTCTTTTAAAATGGTGACATTTGCTTGATCATACAGATATCTGTATGGCATCAAAGCTCTACTTCCTGAAATAGAAGGCAAAGGCTAAAGCAAGCTCGAGCTTAGATTCCAGCATCTGTGTTCCCCAATTCACCACCCTTGGGCTCCAATGCCTCCAGCCATTTCCTACTGACACCTAATTAGAGGCTGTGCACACAAAACATGGATGTTTTGCCTTGGCTGCATCCTGGACTTGATGCTGATGCTCATTTTTAACTTTGTTTAGACAATTTGTACTTTTCCAATTCTGTCACTGTGTGCAACCACAGTAAGACATGTTCTCAGATGGCCAGTGGTGACACCCAATTGGACTAGAGAAAGATTAGAACTTAAAAAATAACCAGAGAAGACTCCAGGCATGTCAAAACAGAATGTTCTCTAGTAAGAGAGACCAGAATGGCAAGATAAATGCTCAATTCTTGGTTTTTCAAATCCAGTGGTTTCTATCCTCAGAATATGAGGGAGGGGGGACTACTGAGGGAAATTCTCAAATAATAATTTTTAAGGAGGCAATATGATCCGAAAGACAGACAGCATATCCAGGATGGCCGCATCAAAGCTGGTGCCTTATGTGGAGATATGTTTGTGTCTGTGGCAACTGTGGTAAATGCTGGTCCAAGTCAATGGAAGCATAATCCAAACAGCTACAGAGTAGTTTCTCACTTCTAGTCCTCTAGAGTAGGGACTGAGGGTGGGATTAAGGAGACTGACAGGGCATGGGGCGGGGCTTGAAGCAAACCTGGAACCCTGTAAAGTACTGATGGACAATGGAAACAGCTGTGTGACTAACAAGGAGTATGAGCTTCCGAGGGGAGCTTCAACATACTGTGCAGGTAAGTCTTGGAAACTGCCAGTTAAGAGAAAGCAGAACCCATGTCGCCGAAGCTCCTGGAATCTAGAACTCCTGGGCATAGTATACTGTTTGGCCCACCTCCCCACGATTTCCAGAGGCTGAAAGAGTTCCATGTTGGGAAAGATAATTAAGAAGTAAAATATTTCACAGTGCATTTGCCTCCAGTAATACCTGCCTTCCTACTCTTGAGAACAGGATCAAAGTACAGATACCTTACTGCATAAACAGGGCATCCTTGGGTATATTTTGTTGTAATATATATTATTGAAAGTTTAAATGTATCTTAAAATACAAATTTGACACATTACAATACTTGGTAGTCTACAGGAGACCTCGACCAAATAAAAGACAGCACATACAGTTCCAGAGGCCATAACCTGCTACCAGTCTCCAAAAGAACTGAGAGTTCAAAGAAAAAGGAGACTAATTTTGAGACTAGAGATGATGCTCAGTAGTGGAGCATGTGCTTAGCACACAGGAGGGAGAGAAAAGGGAGAGAAAGAACACTTAGACTGTAGGCTGATGCCCCCACCCCCAGACACACACACACCCTACAGGGCAGCACAAGAACTAACAGCAAAGCCAAAGACACTGCAGCTGCAAGCTCTTACAGCTTACATAAGCCAGGAACACCACCCGAGTGCTCAGATGACTAAACACTGTCTCATACTGGTTTGTTTGGCTGGGGCCCAACAGGACATTCCTAGTATTTTTCAAATGTTATATCCCAACCAGGGAACCTACTTATGTTAAAAAGAAATCAGTAGAGTAAAAGAAATCTGAGTTAAAAGTTTTATTCATTCAACATCTCACATTACAAATATTTAAAAATTATATGCATACTGGTATAAATAGTCATTTGCAAACTATTTAATAACATTAATTTTCCACTAGCACTTCAACAAATGAACTCTTTTAAAAAAGGAACTGTGTTATATAACTTAAGAGTAGAACATACAAAAATAGGAACTTAACGTGAAAATGACTTTAATAAAAAAATGAATTACCCTTATTTAAAATGCTAGAATAAATACTACAACCTCCCCATACACAATAAAAACTATATGGAAATTCAGCCAAGTAGTACAATTAACTGACGCACTTAAATAACGCTTCCTTCTGATAATATGAGCAATCACTGGGAAATCAGGGATTAGTAAAAACTAGACACCGACTTGCTAAAAGTTTCACTTCCAAAAAAAGTAACAAAAATCTGATGAAATTATAAAAACTAATTATACTTTAAATTTTAAAAATATAAAAAATAAAACAGTTGAATACAATATTGTCCCAATTCTTACAATGCTATCAATCACAGTAGCTTTAAAATAAGATAATAAAATAAAGCAAATGACCAAAACCTCTTTTATTCCATTTTTAAAAATAATCTCAAATTTACATTAGTAGAAAGATTGATTTCTGATTCTTTTCTTTAGAAACACCAGCAAGAAAGAGGATTACTCTTAACAGTAGAAAATGACATTTTTAAATGTCTGCAATTAAAAACAAAGAATTACACTGCAAAGATCTTCCAAAGTGTGAGATAAGTATTGCACATAACTGGAGTGAGCTTGCCAGAATTCATCACATTCAAGTTTTAAATCACCTTTTAACAGAAGATTCAACTCTTCAAAACAAAAGGGGTGAATTATCAAGTCTTTCCAACAGCACTCTCATAAAATGCTAAGTTCATTCACTGCAAGTTTTATTTTGCATTCTGCAGAGGTCTGTGTATGCACAAGTATATATATT